TCCCGGCATCGCCGACGGCGTCTCTTGCCTGGTAAGCGTCCTGCTCCGAAACCCTTGCCTCTGGTGATCCCGCTGCGGAAGATATCGGGCCCACCGTCGATCGCGGGATATTAGAATGTTGAGATCAAGAACGTCGTCGACGTGAAGAGCAGGTGAATATACCGTGTCTTGAGTTATGCGGAAAACAATCGCGCGATCTAACGTTAGTACAAAGGCCGGCGTTTTGTATCGTTAGTTTTGCCATGGTTTTCACGCAATAATTAGACGCAATGCTTTACGGCTGCGAGTCGCCGAATATTGAGCCGCCTACACGCCGGTCTTCGTATCAATTGTAAGCACAATCGTATAACTGGGGCTTTCGACGGACGAAAGATACAGGCCGATACGGCTATACAATTTTCAAGATCGGTGAAACTAAAGCATCGAGCCGACACCTGTCAATCGCGTTCGAGCGCTTCAAAATGGCAGTCTTGCGTTCTCGATAATTCTCAAATTCCTGCGTGTTTACATTTATTGCCGGTGCACCATCGGTTTGGTATTTTTCGAAATCACTCGTACCTCGAAATCTAGAAAAAAACTCTGTTTATTTGGCTGTTGAGACGACAACACGAACGAACGTGCGGTATCAGCAGGCGATAGCAATCGCTGGCCGCGATAAATTCGTCAGTCCATAATTCACGCGTGACGCGATTGTTCGTCGACGTACGATAATTTGATTAGGGTGTATCGATTATTCGCAGATACCCGGCTTGGCAAAGATTTACGCCGCCGAGAGGGAGACAGAAAAAGAACGAGAGAGAGAGAGGGAGGGAGAGAGAGAGAGAGAGAGACGGGCCGTGTACCTTTCTTTTTCACTGTCGGCGGTACGTTCGATTTAAATTCGGTGCCAGCTGCACGAGATCATTCGCGTGGGTGTCTCCGGGTCGGAGAACTCGTATCGTGGCCGAAGGTCAAGACGAGATAATCCTAAACTGCATCGACAATTTCAACGGAATAGAATTCGAGTAATTAATGGGTAACTATTTTGGAATTTTCATGTTCTCCAAAAGACGTTTCCGGACGTGTGCACAGAAAAGAGGTTTCTCTAGACGAAAATACAAAAGAAATGACATTATTTGACGCAAAGACATTTATTGTATTTGAGAAACCAAACAATCCTGTTTGTTGAATCAAACGTTCGTTTGTTCGCTTTGTTCCGAGAGACAAACTTGTTTCAAGTTTCAAATCAAAGAAATTTCATTAAACCCAAAGGAACCTTTTTCTCTGTGCGTCTATATCGCCGGTGACAAGTGATTTTATGAAACATGTTCTCGCCGCATTGCACAAATATTCTCTTATATCGTTCGTTTACGAATTTCCTTTGAGCGCGCGTTTATCGCGGTTGCGATTTTATCGCATTCTTTCATTATCGGACACGCCGAAATTCTCCGCTCCGTTATAACGCTGATTAAATCTCTCGCGGAAGATTGTGCGCGCGCGCGAGATCGTCGTTTCGGCGGTGAACACCTCTCGCCTTCACGTCCCAGAAACGCCGTAATTATTTCGCGCATTCCACACGTCGCGTTTTTCGCGAAGTCGGTGCGAAATGTGCCGACGACTGAGTAATTTCAATTTTCCCGTCCCTCGGAGCGTCCACGCGCGCCGCCGACTCTCCGCGTTACTCGCTTCGCGCGCGAAACTCGGTCGCATCTCGAATTATCTCGCGGAAGTGACGTGAGAGAAGGAGCTTTTTCGCGATTTTCGACGAGTCGCCGCGCGGTTCCCTCGCATTTTACCCCCGTCAGAATTGAAAAAGAAAAAAACCGCATCTCCTCGCGATTTTAAGCGAATGACCCTCGCTCGATCGAGAAGTCGGGCGAAAAACGGCGCCGTAAATCCGGAGGATCGCGAAAATGATTAGGTAGGTTCCGCCGTGTTGTACGTCGTAAAAGATAATCGCGCGGAAAATGCTTGCACGGTCCTCGTGCGCGCAATTCGTTTTACATTTTACGGCGGCCGAAGGCAGAGGCGGTTCATTAAAGTCGATCGTGACAGCGGAGAGAATCTCGAACGAACCGTGCTTTTCGCGACGAGATTTACGAGACACTCTATTATCCGGCGCAACTTCTTCCCACGCTATTCAGAGATACTTAAACTCTTTAAACGCGAACTCTCTCGTCTTTTTTTCCGCGGCCGAAGTTCTCTCTTTCTCTCTCTCTCTTTCTCTCTCGTCCCCTCCCTCGCGCTCCTCTCGACGAAGTCGGAGCAATTTACTTGGCCATTTCGTAGTTCTCGAATAGCTCCGACTCCGCCGTCCGATCGAACGTTGTTCGCTAACGAGTCTGTCGACGAACACGGCGTATCGCCAGCAAACACGCTTCCTCGCGTCAATAATTAATCGCGTTCTCGCGAAACCGCGTGGTCTCGGCAAACAAATCATTTATCACGCTGAGTTGAAATTCTCATATTACTTGCACGTTCTTAAGAACAGTTCGCGTCTACTTGAATGGCCCGTAGACTAGTAAAACTTTATTTGAACGATACTCTAGTTATCTTCTCCCTTGAACCTCTAATTCTACAAATTTGCTTTGAATTTGAATGCCACTGAGAAAAACAACCTACGTTGAATCAATAAGATTACAAGGAAGGGTCATTAAGTGTCAGTGCACGGTTTAGTGCAATTATGAGAAAGTCAAATTACAAAGTAACATCTATAATATTCGATAATGTTACAAGATAAGCGCGTCTAAACGTCTCGATTTTGGACCTTCTTCAATAAGCTCGCAATCATAACCAGCTCCTGCTGTGTTGTGGAATTAAAGGTTTAACGCACAGGTCCGAAATATCCGACTCGGGTGAACCTACCTACATAGCGAATTCTTTTTCCGCAGAGCCAGAGGAGATTTCGAAGAGACCCGAGGAACTTGGGAAGACATTGCGCGACGCGGCAGGCTCGAGAGTTCTTGGAGAAAGCTCCGCGTAGTTTCCTCGTCGACGATCGTTAGCCAGTGATACATCATCGTCAACGTGAACCAGTGATACTGTTCGACGCCGGTCGACGAAGCCGCGATAGCGGCGCGATGCGGCGTCGCGCCGCTGCTCGTTGGTGCGTCGCGAGCTTGTCCGTAGGATGGACGACGAGTGTGGCCGACGGGGCGACGAGAGGAAGAGGAAGACGAGTGACCGTCGTTGTCAGTGCGTTGGACGCGCCGTGCGACGCCGGCGTCGGCGTCGTCGGTTGCCGTCGATTATTTACCGCGACCACCGGCTGCGTCCGAGCCGGACTCGTGCGGTGATTCGCGTGTGAAGTAGACCCGCCGTCAACGTCCACGAGCCGCTCGCCCAATTGGATGGAAGAGGAGGACGACGACGACGACGACGTCGACGACGACGACGACGACGACCAGGACGACGACGACGACGACGGCGGCGGCGAGGGAGACGACGACCACGGCGTGACGAGAGATGCCTGGTATCGTGGTGTTCGGACGACGCTGGAGCGTCGGCAGCGACGACCTCGTCGTGCCCGGCGCCTTCTTGTTCATCCTGCATCTTATATGGTGAGTGACGATCATACGTGTCTACGGGTACAGAGAAAGAGATTTCTTTGTACTTAGTACACACGTGTTTGTTCGATTTTGGTTTGTTTGAACAGCGTAATTTAATGTCAAACATCATTTTGCTTGAATAAAAATGTCGTGTTTCACTAGAATAAATCATGTTGTTTTGATAACAAAAATTACTTCGAGGAAATAATATTCGGCTTCCGGTAAAGAAAAATTCATTTCACTATATGTTAAATATTGTCTCACTGAAACAAAAAGTTCTTTAATAATATTTAACATAGTGTTAAACTTAACTTCTTTTAAATAATTTATTTCTTGTGACAACCATTGTAATGTTTGGATGAAAATATAAAAGAAATATGTTATTTGACGTAAAGATATTTATTGTTTGAGAAACCAAGGGTATTGTATTAAATCAAAAGACATCTTTTTCTCTGTGTAATAACAGGGTTGGGAAAGGTACTTTTGAAAAATAACTCGTTACCTATTGAAAAAAGTAACGCGTTACTTTTGTTATTATTATCCATTTACTAACGTGAAATAATCCTTCTAATACAATTTTATTCGTTGCACCTTTACTTGTCACTCATTGACAAATTTTCGTTATCGTTATCGTTATCGCTACTCAAGAAATTATTAAAAAGCAGTGGTTACAATTTCCGTTACTTTTTCAGAAAATTTTGGGGACCATTTTTTAGGATTCGCTCGCGCTCGTTTCATACGTATGTATTTCATGTGTATACAGTAACGATTATATTCGTTGTCGTTAATAAAAAAAATATAACTATGTCACTGTTACTGATGAAAAAATGTAACTTCGTAACGAAACTATTATTGAAGAAAAGTAACTTGTAACGGTAACGGCGTTACAAGTAACGTATTACTTTTCAACTCTGCATAATAATACGGTAACAATGAATAATGATTACATGACATATTGAGAAAACGGAGGAGTTTTTTACGTGGGGTTCGAGATCCGCACTGCGAGAAATTGAAATAAGAGATACGAGGTCTGAAAGAGACACCTCGATGCAAAGTCGTGGCATAACATAAATCGCTCGCAATTTATCGCGTGATCGCGTGACATCGCAAAGGTTGCAATATAAATTCTGAGGTCGAAGATCGCGATGATCCGATTTTCAGCCGGAGTAGACACGCAGGAAATGAGAACGTTTATCGGGGAAAAGGGGGAGGGGCAGCAGGCGACCAGGAATTTCGTTTCCGTCTTAGTGGAAAATTGAGGGAGAAAAATTCTTACGGACGCGCCAATAATGTCAAGACTTGTATTTATTGTGCGTTCACTCGCTTGAAGTCCATTTTCGTACGAGCATAATTGCGCTTGTCTCGTTCTAAATTCACGCAAGCCTATTCGATAAGTTAATCGTGCATATCTGTGGGCGTTAACAAGTGTGCGCAGTGTTGTCTCGAATCGGAATTTGCACAGCTCGTAACCTTCACAAATAACGCGTTAACGCAGTAATGCGCCGCACCTGGCTGGAAAATTATTAATCGCGATCGGCAATCATTTTCAAGAGGGGCTATCGGCTCGGTGTAACGTTCCACTTTTGAAATTATTTGCCCAATTAAAGTCGCCGGTTCTGCCGTGTTCCATACGTACAGGAAGGACACGTTGGATTTGGCTCTGCTAAATTTATCGTCCCTCGTGAATCCAATTTTACTGAAATATTTTTATCATTTTCTCTCTTCCTTCTCCTCTCTTTCTCTCTCTCTATCTCTATTTCTCTCTTTCTATTTGTAATATTAATATAACCCTATTAGCAACGCATAATATTTCATTTTCGAGTCATCGTTCGACCTACATTGGATTTTACGTATGCAAGAGCCGGCAATTAGGAACTCTCTCGCGAATTCCGTTCAATTCATTTCCTCTGCGATCTGCTAATTGATCGTACGAATATTGGTATGTATCGCAAGCATCCGCTTAGGGAGCTGCGAGATTATCCGCGAATGTGAGATGAGCCTGAGCTCGTTTCTGTGCGCAGCACGAATTCGGTAAGGGAGATTGGTGGAAGCAAAATTTCACAGTATAACTCAACGTTCAAGTAAACACGGAGGACGTGAATTTGTCCCTAACGTGTGATATCTTTTCGACAATTTTTAATCCCCCCGCGAGTTAATTCGCGAGCCGATCGCCCGTCGGATTTATTTTAACCGCGCGCGCGAACACAGCACGCAGAGAGCAGTAAAGATAATAATAATAATAATTACGAGCTTCTATTTTCGGCGTGTCCTGAAAACATCGTGAGACGATTATTATTCGCGTGTCTGCTTTCCCCGAAACAATCGCACGCGTCGCTCGGCGCACGAATCGCGATATACTCGGATGCTGAGAGGCCGAAGAATCCGCGCGCTGAATGCCAGTTTTACGTCGAGCTTCTCGCGCGATGGAAACCGCAATTTTCGCGATTAGCGCGACGACGCGCGAAAATAGTGGCGTGCCGCAATAAACGGGGGATCATTTTCAAGAGTGCACGAGAAAGAGAGAGAGAGAGAGAGAGCGCGGCCTTGATTATTCTTGGAACGGGGTATTGGTTTGTTATTTTCAGAGTTTGTTGTGTGTAAACGCTTGGACATTAAGAATCCTCTTTCGCGCGTCGCTTTGAAGCCGGCCTACTCCGTCGAAAGCGTCTCGTTTTCGCGGCGTTTTCGCGACGCGTCCTTTCCGGCCGATATCCTGATAGTTGAAATGTCGACTGGCTATTTTAACGCTCTTAGTTCGCGTTTGCTTTCAGACGTTCTATAGAATAATAAAAAGCTACTATCGACGATATCACTCACTTCTCGACGCTCCTCTCTCTCTCTTTCTCTCTCTCTCTCTCTCTCTCTCTCTCTCTCTCAAATTTTTAATTCAAATTTTATTTTAACGTTACATTGAACAATTCATTTCGCCAGCCGAAACAGTGAAAACGGAAATTTCAGATATCAGAGTCAATAAGTGAGCGTAAATTGTATTATTAGAATTGATATCGAATCTATTTTTCTATCTCTTAGCTCCTACTGTTGTAAAAATAGTGTCGTAGATTTTGAGGTTTAATACAGAGACTCGAAAATTTCGACTCGGGGTCACGGTCGGTTGATTGTTGAACTTCCACAGCCGTTAGATGCAAGCCAAAAAGCCGCTCATTAATAAACCGCAATCTACATATCGGTGACATTAGATATTCATCGCATTGGGGGAAGCGTCGTGATTGACGGGACAACTGCGTGGAAGTCGCTATACGTCGAGTTCGTAAGACTCGCTCGGTAATCGTCGTCAGCTCTGCAACAGGATGTCTTCACAATCGACCGCTCTTGGTCTTTTATTATTTTTTCACGTGCATCTTCCGTGCGACGGTCATTGTTTTGCAGGATGAGTCAGTCGCGCGCGAAACACTCTTCTTGTGCATTATTATTAGCGATGATCGGGAATCGCTTCTCTCTCTCTCTCTCTCTGTCTCTCGTGGTGCAACGTGTGGCGCGGCTCGAGATATTTCGAGATACCACCTGCAAAATAACATTCTGCAATTATGAGATCGATCGCGCGCGCGAGAGGCGGGAATTGCGCGACCGCGACGATTTAATAATCGCGTGATAATTATGCGATGGGGGAAGGGGGGTCTCTCATCGAAACTCGCGTGGTAAATATTTCTTTTCCAACGCCGTTCGTAGCAGCTGAACTCGTTGATTCCCGTAGGTTCCGGTGTGATGCAGAACCCACCTTTACAATCCTCGACGAAATAATCGCGCCGAATAACTGAACGTGTAGCGCGCGCGGATGGGAGGTAACTTGGCGGTGGCCCCTTTCATTCCCGACACCGTCACCACGGGCGAATTGCTCGAGTATTTGACGCATGAGTCGCGGCTTTAATCCCATCGCGATCTGAGCACGTATCATGAAACGCCTGGCCGCCGCCTATTATGAAACTGTTCGGAAAAGTTTCCGATTGAAAGGGCTCGATTATTCCGTAGATTTTTCTTGTGTTTTCCAGGGAATAACTGAACGGTTCCGATCGAAAACCTTTCCGAACGGTTCCATAAGCGTCGGTTTACAATAGGTATTTTAAGCCTCAAGTCTTAAGCCCCAAGTCTTAAGAAATTGACCAGTCGCAGTGAATTATTCTCTTCATGATCGGGAACGTTCAATTTATTCCCTGGATCTCTACGACGTTTTCTGAGGAGAACGGAATTATTCCATGTCCATAACAGCCCGAGGTATGTATTATGGATTTGTTCGGAACCGACTCCGATGGGAATTTCTTAATTATTCCCTAGATTTTTCCCTTTGTATTTTACATGGAATAATTGAGCGATTCCGATCGAGGTATCAGTTCCGAATGAGTCCATACAGCTCGAGCTTTCAATTCCCACTTAGATGCGTGGTGAAGTCGCGGCGAAGTCAAAGTCTTCTTTCCACCCCAGAGTTCCGTTCCGTCCGTTTCGTCCGGCACACTTCGCGTCCCTTCGAGTCCCGATTTGAATTTCGGGTCGGCGCGCTCGCGTCATAATCGCGAAATCTCACACGGAAAGGTGGCGAAGCGAGCGAAACGGAGAAAACGACGTCCCAATGCGGTTCGCGCGCGAATGTCGCGTGTTTGGGGAAACTGGTAGATAGCGCGCCGATAGGCTAATGCACAACATGAATTTCGTCGGCCGGCATGGCGCGTCGGTCGGCGGTTCGACCGGTCCGGTCGTTCGCCTTTTTCAGTACACGCTCCCGCTCCCCGTCGGTCGGTCGCCGTTCATTCGCTCGCTCGCTCGCTCGTTCACTCGCTCGTTCGCTCGCTCGTGTAGGTTATGTCACCGTGGTCCGCGTCCCCGCAGGATGCCGAGTCTGATCGCATTCGGCAGACGATGGAGGGTCGGCAGCGACGATCTCCTGCTACCCGGCGCTGGTCTGTTCTGCGTCCATCTGCTCGAGTGAGTACTCCATTTTCTTGCGTCGCTCGCCTGAGTCGTACATCCGAGGGGTAGATTTCGCAGAGGCGAAAATTTGC